ATATTTGATTGATTGGATACTAATTTAATTTTTTTTTAAAGTGAAATATAAAGTAAAACATTACAAAATAAAAGTATAAAAAGCACAAAATTTTTTAAGAATGCTCGATGGAGCATGATAAAAGTAAAAAGAAATGTTTAATACGGTATGATAAAGTGAGTTAAATTTAGCATGATAAGGTAAATATTTTTCTTCCCCGTCTCGCTCCCTTTTTCATCATTTAATTTTCATGTGTTTACGAATTAACTTATGTAATACAGTCGATCCACTAAAATTCTTATCAATGCAACTTTGTTCTTGATATCTTTGATTAGCTTAGTCTTTACTTTTATGAACCAATGAAATATCTATGGTTCTTGTACAAAGAGCATGCCGAGGGGCTACTACGCTCACCGCGCACTTGCATTACCACCTAAACTTCTTCTTTATACTTCGAACCCCCTGATCAAAAATCCTGGGTCCGCCACTGATAACAACTGTGTCCGGGCCAACTTGGCACAACTCGACTACTTCAACAACATGTTAAGGTACTCATAGGTGGATGTACCATATTATTTACGAATTTGACAGAACTCAGTAACTTAGCTCAGACTCTATATATGTATTAAGAAATTTTATGAAATATGTACGAATATGTGAACCTATAAAGTTCAAATTTTGAATAGTCCTCTATAACTATGGAGTAATTTCATTCATTAAGACCGAGGACAAATGGAAGGAATTCACTTATAATAGCATTTTAAAACCTAGCTAGCACGTATAATTTTTAAATTTTATTTTATACATAAAAATATTTACTTTGATATAATTTTTAAATATTTCTTATACTTTTTCATAGTTTTTATCTTTTAATATATTATTTCAAGTTTGAAACTTAGAATTTTGAATGGTTCCATAAAGATTATAGTCCATAGATGTTGATAATTATAATAAAACTTAAATCAAATCAAATAAATACTAATGCAAAAAGAAAATCAATTTAACACTAAGAATGACAATAATATTGAATATTGGTTCTTTGGTTTTACATTGCTTTAGAAGTAACTTTGCATGAGCTTCCTAAGCCATCTTTTTTCTTGTTATTATTTGTCACTTTGTTTTTAACAAACAACAACATAATCAACCAAAGGCGCGCCGCTTTTTGAAGTAACTTTGCATGAGCTTCCTAAGCCTGAATTGCCACATTTACTTGAAATCCCTACTTTACCTAAACCTGAATTCCCTGAAATTCCAAAATCCGAGCTACCAACACTACCAAAGCCTAATTGCCACATTTACCTGAAATCCCAACTTTGCCTAAGCCCAATTTTCCCCAATTTTCCTGAATCATTTGCAGCTTCCCTTTTATGAAACTATTATATATATAATAGTTTTATGAAACTATATATTCAAACTTTTATATTATTTACAATTTTGTTAAACAAAAATGTTTGAAAGGACATTATAATATGGCTACGATATTATGTCTTCCACAATCGTCTTGCTCACGCAATAGGCATGCTCCAATATAGATATTAGGTAAAGGAAATTAAGCAAGTAGATATAAATTTGAGAAGAAAGTTAAATAATTGAAATATTTTCTTTAAATAAGCCAAGAAAGTCACATAATTAATTAAGGTGCTAGCACTTGGCTCAAAAACTTATTTCTTCCTCCCATCCATATTAATTATATAATATTTTTAGTTTCGGAACACTTTAAGAAAAACATCACCTCCTAAAAAAATAGAGATGAAAAAGTAAAAACATCATATAATACTAGATATAGGACCCCGTGCCAGCACGGGGCCCAATATATATTATCATATTATGGAATTTGAGAAGTTATTGAAATTTTTATATGATTTTAAAAATATTTTAAATTTTTAGCTATTGTGATTTGCAGTACTTTTTTTTAACATAATTTTGAAAATAATATTTATTACTCTGTTTGTTGTAAT